GTTTGTTTTGACCCAGCAGTTGGGTTACTACCCAGAAGGTTGGGTTAACCATTTAACCCAACCGCTGGGTCAAAACAGCCCAATTGCTGGGTTGTATTTAACCCAGCATTTTTTAGAGTGTAGCAACAGTTAACTGTAGTAGTGCCATAGGACACAAACAGCTCTATTGAGCTGACCTTGATGTGCCTGATATAAATGTGATTTTATTAGAAAATACATTTGCATTTAGTCATTTAACAGACGCTTTTATCCAAAGCGACTTACAAATGAGGACAATAGAAGTAATCAAAACCAACAAAAGAGCAACAATATGCAAGCGCTATGACAAGTCTCGGTTAGCCTAATGCAGTAAACGTAGCAACGTAGTTTTTAAGACTTTACCATGTAGCATGTAGATACCATATGAATATGGCAATTAGTGGTATTGCCATCTTATACCGTCCTCTTTAGTATGTGTCCATTGCTTTTGGGCTGTTTTCATGAGTTTGTCTCGCTGTTTAGCTTCTCACCTTTGCACTTTTTGAATGTAATAAGTTTTCTTCACTGTCTCACATTAAATTTGTCATCACCTTTCTGCACTTCTTTCTGCAGTCTCAGGAGAAGCAGATGCTCACCAAGGCCCAGGAGATCAACAACAACTACAGCAAGATGACCGAGGAGAAACCTAACCGCAAAATGTAGCTGATCCAAGAAAATAGCATGGCCCACCCAGTTCCTATTGCATGTTGTTTTTCTGAAGTAACAGGCTTACATCTGTACTTTACTGTCAGTAAAAAAGAGAACTAGTTCTTTTTCCTTCTTGGTTGCTACAAAACAGTTCATATTTATTTAACTTTTATTACACTGTCTCTCTTTTCTTTGTCAGGAGCTTCATGCTGTAGAAGTCTGTAAGAATAAGGAACTTCACACTGAGCTCTCTGGCTAAGGACACTCAGAGCCGTGAGGCGTCCAATCATGACTGCATTTGGAGAATATCTCATTCTCTGGCCACACTGTCTAAAGAGGTCATATCAGACTCACCTTATCAGTTTTCCTTATCAGTAAACGTCTGAGCATATAACAGCATCCCACATACACTAAGTGGACAAAAGTATGTGAGCACCCAAACACCACACCCATACGTGCTTGTTGTTGATTGTTTCATTTCAGAAGCATGGGCATTAATAGGCAGTTCTTCTGGGAGTCAGTGTTCCAGTTCTTCTCAAAGGTATTCAGGTCTGGAATTTGTGCAAACCAAGATCTTTCACGTGTCTTAAAGGACCTAGACTTGTGTGATGTTCCTAAATCAACATCATCCGTTGATCCTAGAACTAAAAGTCCTCTCCCTATCCCTAAACTCAACCTTTACCAAAAATTGTGGCTAAAATCTGAGGACAGTTGATAAGAATGTTGCTCAAACTCCAGTCCTGAGCCAAACCCTTCTACCTATATTTCTAAAGTCTGATTGGCTGATGTTGATCGAGGAACATGCCCTACTTGGCAGAACTGCAGTCACCTGCTTTGTGCACAAGGACTTTGTCATGCTGAAACATTGATTGAAACTGTTGAACAATTCTCGAGGATATCATTGTATGGAGTAACACTAAGATTTGTAATTATTTGACTAGTCAAATGCATTTATTAGTAAGAGGTGTCCACATACTTTGGCCATGAAATTTATCTGCCTGCTGAAAAAAACAACAACTTAGATTATCTTAAATTCCAAGATTAACTTGTTTTAAATTGGCATTGCTGGTAAATTACTGACATGAGCTAATTAAGATGATTGTTGTTGCAGCTAGACCAGTGGTTGAGCTAAAACCAGCATGAAATTGTCAAAACATAACTTATTTGTAACCAGCAATGGCACAAACTGGTCATTTAGTCTGGTCTTGGTTGTTATTTAGCAGGGCTGAATCTCAAAACCAAAAACCATGACTGTATCCACATTTACACTGCACTTTTTAGGATATGATTCATTCACGTTGGTAGTTTAGATGAATTTCAAGGCTCACAGACTCGGATTTGTTGGTTTGTTTTTCAGTGACCTGAAAGAGGAATGTCTAAGCAACATGCTGTTAAATGATTACTAAAAAACATTTAAAATAAGATTAAAGTATAAATTCGTAATAAGATGTCTATCATTTTTGCAAGTGAGGGAAACTAAGAACGCATCCAAGAGATTATTTATGTTGGCAACACATCAGGCTTTTTTAGATTAACATTATTTGCTGTTGTTTATCACCCTCAAAAGCAATTTAGTATCTCCTAAGTATCTGTGAAGTTTCTGTCTCTTGCAAGTTTTTTGATTGTCTATGACTAAGTGTCTAATTAGGTATTGAATATGGAAATTCTTGACCCAGTAGTTTCTGAATATAGTTTCTAACCCATTAGGACTAGTATTGCTATTGATAAGATTATACTCTCAATTACTAAAACAATCATAAAAGCTCAGTAAAATGGATGTGTTTGCATTCGTGTCATTGTGTGTCTAAGGCGAACACTGGCCAACGTGTGACAGAAATTACAGATAAATGAAACTTAAGCTGTTTTGTTTGTTTAGATCAGCTAGACAAGCTAAGGACACATTGCAGCAAAAACATTTGTTTTGTGTGTGTGTATCTCCTGGGTTCTTGTAGGTAGGTGGATCTGAAAACACATCTAAAAGTACACAATTATGACATTCCTGGGTCCTAAAGTCAGTGACAGAAGAATAAGGGACAGCGGGACATGCACCGGTTGCAGACGTGATGTAAAACTGTTTTGTTTGTGTCAGATTTTAACTTTAAATAGTATGGCACTGAAAGGGAGTGGACAGGTGGTAGATGAATAATTATTAACACTTCAAATACACATGATGTCAGTCCTCAAGGTACCATTAAAGCAGTTTTATTGACCTGATTGGTTTAATCATTTGTGTACCATTCCAGTCTATAGTCACTTCAGGCATGTTTATTTTCCACATATAAAATCATGTGCGATAACCTGAAGTCTAACTTTACAGTTCTGTGCAGGGTAAGTTTTTGAATAAAAAAAATGTTAATTTTGGTTGTAAGGATTATTAGTAAGTATAATAGTAATAAAATGTTGTAATGTCCTAGTTTTGTATCTCTGAGTATCCTTTTAAAAAGTCTAATAGGAAACAACTTACATTAAGAGTTGCTTGTCAGTTTGTAGATAAAAGGGCAGGCTTAAAGGGATAGTTCACCCAAAAATGACAATTCTGTCATCATTTACTCACCCTCATGTCGTTCCAAACCTGTATGAGTTGCTTTCTTATGTTGAACACAAAAGAAGATATTTTGAAGATTGCTGGTAATCAAACAGTTGGTGGTTGCCATTGACTTCAATAGTAGGACCACAAACCCAGATCGCGCGTGTGCAAAATGCACTTTTGTGCGCTCAAAATATGGTCTTTCGCGCGCAGAATTGTGGCAGAAATGTAAGCCCATACTCATACAGGTTTGGAACGACATGAGGGTGAGTAAATAATGACAGAATTTTCATTTTTGGGTGAACTATCCCTTTAAGCTCTGTCTGTTTGCTTCCTGTGGTTTTCATCAGTATTGAAACTGAAAGCTAAAACTGCGTTTCCACTTTTCAGTACAAGCGTACTGTTCTGGAAAAGAAAAGTTATTCTTTAATTAGGAAGGGAGTGACTTATCCAGCATCGCTCAGCAACATCTCTATAAATTGTTTAAACACATCTTGATGCAGAGCGGCTGAATCATCCAGTGTTACAGGAAGATTGTGACATATTACTAAACTTTTGGGATGAGAAAGAAAATATGAAGGTAAGATGATGCTATGCATTACCAATTCATGTTGCCAGATTCATTTGTGTACAGTATATTATTTAATGGAAAATAATTCATGAAGCTATGGAAAAATTAAAATTATTATAGTGGAATTCAAAAGCTTGTAGTTTCAGTCATCATTTACTTTAATTGCTTCTTTTTTCCATACAGTAAAAGATGAATAGAGACCAAGTCTGTATTTCTGATAAACATCCCCTTTTGTGTTACACAGCTGAAAGAAAGTCATACCCAGCATGACTGAGTGAATAAATCATTACTTAATCTCATTTGGGTGAACTGTTCCTTAAAGCAGCACTATGTAACTTTTTCTGTGTTCAAAATTTGCAAAATGTATATAATGAGCGAGTACATCATGAATTCATCTTCCAAACCGCGTTTTTGTCTTATTCCGAATCACTACGGTACACTTATAATAAGTACTTATATTTGGACTATTGTAGCCTGGACGGGTCGCCACCGCTGCGGAGGAACACATACCTGCGTGAATCGCCATAGACATAAACTTAGAGAAGTAGCTCCGGTTGGAATGTTCTTCCACGGGATGTGTGCAGTTCTGTTTATTAACCGCTAGAGCGCCAAAAGTTACATAGTGCTGCTTTAAGAGACGGTGTCATGAAGTTATTGTTATAAGGTGTTAACTTTAATCAGCAGTTTATGTAAAACATAGATAAGTAGTTGTGTGATTGTGCTTATTGTGTCATAACAGCACTTACATAGTATTTGTTTTTGCATTTATATTCATCTAAATGTAAAAGTTGTGTTGGCAGGCTGATCATTTTTTAATTACCATGCCTTTTATAAAAAAACGTGAATTACTGTATGTAAAGATATGTTTCTTACAGCTAATGCTCATTAAGTCTGAAGGCTGAAAATGTTAACTGATCAAGATTAGAATGCATAAATACAATAACAAAAAAAATACGTTGTAAATGGAAGTTGTGAAATCTTATTCTAATTGCAAATTATTTCTTTTCACAGGGCTTTCGTGTATTCTAAATCATGGCTCTTGCAGGAAATCATAACTTTCTTCAAACGTTAAAAACGAGGTTCAGTCTGTGTGTCAGGTGTAATAAATGCTGTAAAAAACACAATGAGATTTCATACTCACTTAACCAGGTCATCCATGACTGTTCCGAAGACATCTTGCTGATCAAGCGGAAACGTAAAAATTCAGTGTGGAGGCCTGTTGCCCACCGGCCAGGCCGTCCCAGACCTGGAAAGTATGTTGTTTGTCAGTACTACACTAAAGAAACTGGATGCAAGCAGCATGGAAGTAGATGTACCTTTGCTAGGAGCTCAGAGGAAGCAGCAATATGGAACGTCATGAAGCATGAAAAACTGACAATTCCTAAGATTGTGAATATGACTAAACAAAATCAAAGGACACCACAGTCAAAGTCTCGAAGGAAAGGAGGGCAGTTTGCCTGCACATTATGTCAAGTCCACTTCCCGAAAGCTGAGAAACTGATGAACCACTGTTTCACTGTGAAGCACAGGAGACTGATCTTTGATGAGACCTATCAGACTTGGAAGTACCGTGATCCGCCACCAACATACAAGGACCTGAAATTGTGTGGAAGGTATTTATATGAAGTGTGACATGCCATTAGATGTTTGCTTGTGTCAAAGTAAGATAAAGCAGCCTATAAAACCTTCTCCCATAGATCCCTAATATGCGAGTATGGTGATAACTGCACAAAGGCGCACAGTCAAGAGGAACTTCGTGAATGGCAAAAAAGACTCAAGGCTTCACGAAAAAGAGCCAGAGATGCAGCCGAGATGGGTCTACTGTCCTATCAGGACAAGCTTTTGGAGGAATACAGACACAGCAACGACAAGAAAATGATTGTAAGTGGGCCGTTCAGTAATGAACAATGTATAATGTCATTAGTGAGTAACGCTCTTGGACAGTATCCCAAATGTTGCCAGACCTTGTGTTATATATGCTAACAACTACATTTTATTGGCTCATGCAATTTTTTTATTATATATTTACAACCAAAGCTTGAATATAATTGTGGATTTTTTAAATTGCTTTTTACAATATCTTAAACAGTGATTGAATCAATATTCCTGCAGGTCAGCGACACCCTTCCTGATGTTTCTATCAGCTGTGACACAGATATAGACAGTGTGTATGTACGGAAAAAGGGAATACAGTGTACATGGAATTTTACCATTATTTCTAAGGTTTGTATTCAACACATATACAAAATTTGTCTTAAATTTCCAAAATAGTAAAAATAGTTATGAAAAAAGTTTGACAGAGTTGGTTTAGTTACAATATTGTAGCACTAGTTACTGATAATACTACTAAATTTGCTCTTAGTTTTAAGAATTATGGGGTTCCACTCAGCAGTGGTTTATACTTCTTGATCAGTTAAACGATGAAAGTAATTTACTCTTAAGTCCCAAAGTGACATAAAAAAAGATTCAAGCCATCATTGCAAAAGTTAACGAGCTCTTATCAAAATTTTTAGTCCGTTTTTATTACCAACTGTATATGGTACAATAAATGTATAATACATAATCCAGTTTTTTTAGACCTGTAATCTGCCGAGCACCTATGTAACATTTTTAGACAGCTGAAAGTGTGTGTCAGTAGTGTCAGATAGCCTCTGCAAATGACATTGATCTGCATTTCCAAACTGACTTAAATCCCTCCAGGAACCTCTAGAAGTTATTGCTTTACTCAGAAGGGAACTGGGGGCGACATTCAGCCTCAGTAAAGACCCCCATGAGGAACGGACATATTCCACTAGTGCTTGGTTTAAAAAGAACCAAACCGGTAAAGATTAACTATTTCTTACAAAACCTTTAAAGAAACCTTATGACATGCTTTTACTAATACTTATTAATTGTTAAACTGCCAAGCTCACAAATCACTTTCACCTAAATTATGATTTGTTTCTGCAGAGTATGAAATCCCAGTGTTCTTCAAATCTGACCATCCAGGCTTGTATGAGCAGTGGGTAGTGTTTGACTTCAACACGAGACCCGTACTACGACAAAAAATCAAGGTCAGAGTTGGAGAGGATGAGTGTAAGGGAACATCAGTCACGACCCCAGCACCTGAGGTTCCCCTAGAAAAACAAGAGTCTGCCAGGAATCTTGAGCCCTGGTATGAGGAAAGCCTGGAAATCATTCCTTTCTTTGAAAGAGAAGAGGCAGAGAGAGAGCTGATAAACAGATACAAGCTTATCATGATAGATGAGATGAACAGTGTGATTAACCGTGACAACTACAAACACAGCATGCACAATTTTTTATATCAGGAGGAAAAGGTCGAAGGTGAACTGCTTACCAGGTATATACATAAATATATTTCATAGGTGTAAATCCAATACTTGACAATTGATAACAATTCTAATGTTCTCTCCCTATCCCAAAATATTTCCAGGCTGAATCTACGAGGGACTGCGCAGTTGCAAAATTGCCTGTCTGATGACAGGTTTGGTTTAAAATGTGCTTATCCCGGGACACTTCTTGCTGCTGTGCCTCTGTCTCACACACTCACTCCTGATGCTCCTCAAGGCTTCATAGTGAAAAGACACACAATCAGATCTCTTGTTCATGTTGTGAAAAACAACGAATATCTTGGACCTATTTATGAGGCTGAATTTCTGAAAGACGCTGCCACAGAGACACAATTACTTTTGCAGCTTTCCAAACAATGCTGCACTGATTTGAACCTGCAGAATGGACAACAGTGTGAGATGGAAGTCCAGTTCCAACTAAATCGTCTCTGGTTCTGTGAGATGCACAAGGCCATTGATGATCTCACCAACTTAGACAAAGTCTTACCTAATCTGAAAAACAGCAAGTTCTGTATTTCTTCCCAGTCAGATACAGGAGAGTTAAATGAGAAGCAGCAAGCAGCAATGAACTTTGTTCTGGGTGTAACAGACAACAGATGCAGCATCCCACCTTTGTTGATTTATGGACCTTTTGGAACAGGGAAAACTCAAACCCTTGCCAAGATGATCCAAGCTCTTGTGCAGCAACCACAGAACAAAATCCTGATTTGCACACACACAAACAGGTAAGGAATCACAACTGACCCTTCAAAAAGACCCGTCCCCCTTAGTTACTGTTACTACATCCAACTAGCCATGGCGCTCTCACGCCACACATCATGTTCTTACGCAGTGAAAAATATATAAGAAGACACTGACAACGTACTGAAAAACAAGACAGGTTACTTTTGGTATGAAACAAAGTCTCAGCATTCAAATTTTGTTTTTGTTTTTTTAAGAAATTCAAACTATAGCCTACCATTTTGTGGCTCTCTAATGTGTCATGACAGATCACTGTAGCGCCTCTGTTGAAGCACCAAGCACACTTTACTACTAGTTATAGCATGAAATAAACATGAATGTCCACCTACATTAATCTACTAACACTCCTGTCTGATTTGTTTGTCGGACATAATGGTGGATTCAGCATTATGATTGGTCAGATCGCATGTCAATCAAACTCCTAGCAAAGAGTGAATTCAGTGGCACTTCAGAGTATTACTCCACAGGAATAGGTCATCCTTCAGCTCAGAATAATATGAATTTCCATGCTGGTTAGTGCTTGTTTGTTTCTGGCCTAGCACAGTTAAAAAGTCTTGTGGCAACACTGGCACACCAACATCCAAAACACAGCACAGTCTTTTCAACAGGGAAATGGCCTATTTATATAAATTTTTTTAGTTGCATTCTTCTAGCTCAAACAGTAGAGCAAGGTGCAAGCAACGGCCAGGTCACGGAATTGATTCCCAGGGAATGCGTAAACTGATAAAATGCATACCTTGAAGGCACCGTCATTTTGGAACGAGTGTGTCAGCAAATTTAATTGTTTAATGCAGTCATTGTAAACTGCAGTTATTTCTCTTTTTTCTTGATACAGTTCTGCTGATCTCTATGTAAAAGGCCATTTTCATGAATATGCAGCTGTTCATCACGAAGCCAAACCTTTGAGAATCAAGGCAAAGGAAAGCAATCCCAGATCTACTGATACCATCACTCTACAGTACTGCCATTTATCCAGAGATAGCAATCAGTTTGAGTTTCCTGATAAAGCTGTTTTAGATTCCACAAGAATCATCATAACAACAACTGCTGTGGCTCGTTTCTTCCATGACATGAAGCTCCCTGAAAACTACTTCAGCCACATTCTGATTGATGAAGCTTCTCAGATGTTGGAGTGTGAGGCTCTCATGGCACTGGGCTTAGCAGGTAAAAATACACGTGTTGTTTTAGCAGGAGACCACATGCAGATGGGACCCAAGCTCTTCTCTGTGAAACAAGACAAATGCTCAGAACATACTCTGCTCAATCGCCTCTTCTATTACTACCAAGCTGAAAACAGTGATGGCGCCAAACGGTGATGTGATCAAGGCTAGAGGAGGTGTGCCTCCTCATCCACACCAACACACCTTGCAGTTCCATCATGTAAGAGGAGAATGCTGTTTGGACCCAACAAGCATGTCCTGGTTCAATCCAGCACAAGTTCTAAGTGTCGTTGACATTGTGCAATATATATTGGAGCAATGGCCTCAGGAGTGGGATGGTAAAGATCCGGAATCAATCTGTGTCCTTTCTCAAGGCAGACAGGTATCAAACCTATTTTTGTTACCAACTTAATTTGCTTTAAATAATGGCATTCTGCTATTGTATAAAATTTATGTCAGTGTTTGTACCAGATGCTTTTGCCTGTTTTGTGTTTCAGGTGTTTGAGATAAGGCAAAGACTGCGTCAGCTTGGACTGCCCCGTTTCACTGTGGAGAATGCCGAAAATGTGCAAGGTAAAGATGATTCATTACTCAAATGTAATACTATGCCATGATTATGTTTAAACACACTAGTATTAATGCATCTGATTACAGAGCATACTGCCTTTCCCTATATTTTGCAGGAAAACAGTTCAGAGTAATAGTGATTTCCACTGTGCACACCAAGGACAGCTTATTGGAGACGGACCGGACCTGTCTTGAATTTTTCAATGACACACGAGTGCTGAACACAGTTATGACAAGAGCCCAGTCTCAAATATTTGTTGTTGGAGATGTAGCTGCACTTTCTTGCCAACAGTTCGGTACATGCTGGAGACTATGGAGATCGTACATAGAGGATTGCGTCAACAAGGGAAGTGCCCATAACGTTACGTTGGATTCTTTGAAACAAGATCTCCTTGAGATATCTGAGCTCTGCAGAAGTGAGGATGAAGAGAGCAGCGATAGTGAATCAACTACATCTGAAATATCAGACCTAGAAGACCCAATACTTCAAGAGCTTCTTGATGAGAGCAAAGACATCAACGTTCCGTTGACAGAGGAGGGCTTGTTTCCAGTTTTTCAACATGAGCAATTTGTCAGTAGTGTTAGCAACCAAATTGCAGAAGTAGAAGAAGAGCAACTGTTGACTAACTCTATCATACGCAAACACTGTGAGCTGGTCATAGAGTATTATGACCGTGGCTATGCAAGACCACTTAATGAGCCCACTCTGAGAATCGATATCAAGGGTAGAAAGAATATTGGACAGGCATTCCCTGGAGACAAGGTAACAGTGGAGATCCTGAGTGAGACATCAAATCCTCCCATGGGAAAAGTGATCAACATCCTTGAAAGTGCGGATACTGTCAAAGAATTTGTCTGCACCATTGAAAGATATGACAATCAGGTGATGACGCCTATCAACAAATGCATCACCAAAATTTACACACCATTTTCAAAGGACAAACCAGACCACGTTGCTGTAAGAAATCCAGAGAACCGCAAAGTAAAGCGTTTCATCAAAATAAATGAAGAAGCACGTAGAAAATATCTCTTCGTTGTCAGAGTCCTTATGTGGAGAAAGACTGGCGGTATCCCCTTGGGGACAGTTGTGGAAGTGTTTCCCAAAATCACAACTTTAGATAATGGACTGAATATACTCAACATAGAATATCAGTTGAGGAGAACATTTTCGTCATCTTTGAGAAGTCAGATGCAAGACATTCAAGGTCTCAATTTATTTGATAAAGGACGAAAGAATTTTCGCATGCTCCCAACATTCACCATTGATCCTGCTGATTCACAAGACCTTGATGATGCAATCAGTGTACGGGATTTAGGTGAATGCTATGAAATAGGAGTTCACATTTCTGATGTTGCAAGTTTTGTGGCTAAAGACAGTGAACTGGACAAATATGCAAGACAGCTGTGTACTACATTCTATCCCAGTGGGAAGGAGCCAATACACATGTTCCCTAAAGAACTAAGTACCAATTTCTTCAGTTTAATCCCTAACCAAGACAGACGAGCCATCTCCTTGATAATTCAAGTAGATACTAAGACACACTGCATAAAGGAAAGTTCATTTTGGAAGTCTGTCATTCGCTCCAAGAAGAAATTTTCCTATGATGAAGCTGAGGACATCATTGAAAATCCTCAGAATTCTGACCAGCTTCAAATCTGCCTTGTGAAAGCATGGAACTTTGCTGAGGTCCACAGGAGATTGAGAAAACAGGACGACTGCTACTACAAACAGCCAGATGAAGACGTGACTCTGGGAAGAAGACAATCTCACCTAATGGTGGAAGAGATGATGATCATGTTTAACCACATGGCTGCTGAACGTCTTCTGTTTGATGAAACAACAAGGAGCATAACTCCACTGAGGTGCCAGGACAGGCCAAACAATGAAAAGCTTACTGACCTTTTTGACAAAAATGCCTCCTTGATTCCACTTTCTGTTCACTTCTCCAGTCAAGTTCATGAGTGTGTGTCTCATGAACTGAATAACCAAGGTTTGATCCACCGCAGAGCCATGCCAAACCCTCAGGCTTGCATTTCTGATTCTGAAACCTTCCCCATATTAAAATCTGTTTTGAGATGCCTGAAGACAGCAGCAGAGCAGGAAAATATCTACAAAATAATTGACTTTATTGCAACTGATGAGATTCACCCCCAACTTCTCCCTTTTGCTGTTGCATTTAGGAGACTGTTTCACAAATCATGTATTCTGCGCTCAAACTCAACACATGTCTCAAGAATTGGGCACTATGATTTAGATCTTGACAGCTATACATGGGCGTCATCTCCAATCCGCCGATATACAGATGTCATTGTGCAGCGTCTTCTTCATTCTGTGATTGGCAAGACAAATGTTAGGTACACAGCTCATGACATTGACCTGTCTTGTATGGAATTTTCCAGGAAAAACTACCAACAGTCAGCATATGAGAGGAAATCTAATGCTCTACGTTTTGCATTACAACTGTCGACCCAAAGCGAAAGGAAGGTGGCCTACATTGTGGAACTCAATGCATCAGGGACAAATGTGATTCCTTTGGTGTAAAATAAAGTCTGTGATAATTCTGGATTCTCCTGCGTTCTCCTCGTTCCTCGCTCCTTGTTCCTCGCTCCTCACAGTAGGTACGCCGTGACAGAATACCGAACCAGAACATAAAGTGAGCGGTGCGTTTTCTCCCCAAGTTTTTTTGCAGTTTTTGAAAGTGTTTTTGTTTTTCTTTGCTCCCCCCGCGATTATGGAGATCGCGGCACGCTTCATTGCACTAGCCCGTAGAGATCTCCCCTTCGTCGAGCTCCACCATGGCCTCCTAGTCTGCCTGCTCCACCATGGTTTCCTAGTCTGCCTGCTCCGCCATGGCCTCATAGTCTGCCTGCTCCACCATGGCCTCCTAGTCTGCCTGCTCCACCATGGTTTCCTAGTCTGCCTGCTCCGCCATGGCGCCCCGATCTTCCTGCTCCGCCATGGGTCCCGGAACGGGTACCGCTCTGGAGGCCTGCCGTCCCGTGTCTGTCCTGAGGGGCCTCCAGAGCACCCACCCCCCCCTCCCCGTTGGATGTTGTGGGGCGCGTGGACGCTCCTTCCAGGAGGGGGGAGTAATGTCAGTCCTGTGTTCCGTGTTTTCCTCCCCCACGTGCTTTCCATGACCCAGTTTTCCCTCATGTGCAATTATGTTATTGCTCCCAGGTGTTTCTTGTCATCCCCTCGTCATGTCTTGTGTATTTAAAGCATTTCCTGTTTTTAGTTCCTGGTCCGGCATTGAATGTACGTCGATCCCCGTGTCCTACATGTGATTCCTTTGGTGTAAAATAAAGTCTGTGATAATTCTGGATTCTCCTGCGTTCTCCTCGCTCCTTGTTCCTCGCTCCTCACAGTAGGCACACCGTGACAATGCTTGCCTAATATTTAGTTTTGTTTTGAGAAAACAAGTGAAACAATGCATTACACAACAAAAAATGTTTTTGAAGTGTGCTACATTGTTGTCACATAACCGTATCACAATTGCATGTTTAATTCAATAAATGACACCTGTCATTATAATATTTTGTGTTTTACTTATAGTCCATAATTTTTTTGGCAAAAGTAGTAGATTATTCAGATATTATTCAGGAATTTTACATTTAATATCCACAGTAAATATTGCAGAATTAGTAAGAATGTGGTAGTATCTAGTATGCTATTCCATATAGCCAGTGATTGTCTTCAGTATGACATTTAGCTATGTGTCACTTGTAAAGCAGCAGTTACACAATTCAGATTTAAATAGCATCACATTATCAACATTACTGCACTTTAACAAATGTGTTGCAGGTCATCTCCTAAAACTTCGAAATCAACTTAGACCTCTCAGAGTCTACAGTAATCAGATGGAGATGTTGGAATTTCCTTACCCAGGCTGCAATCTGAAGCAGTCACGCAATTCAAAAAGAGGCGAAAAACCCAACACAGAGCTTAGGTATTTGCCAAATACTGTCCATCTATCACTTATTTGAGTGTAGATACTAACTACGAATGTAGTGTGTATGCATGACATGTATTGCTGTCATTTTATTAGCTCCATTGCACTTCACCACCTGATTCGAAAAGATGGCAACCCATTCTCCACACAAATACTCGCTTTTGATCTGAAAATTGGAAGAGGAGATGAACTCACTAATGAAGAAAAGAAATTGTAAGTATTGTTTGGACACAATTTCATAGAAATTAAAAGCTAATTTAAAGTTCACAAAAGTTGCAAAACAATTTTTTTGTTGTTGTTTTAAAGCTACAGAGAAACCCTCCAAAAGGCTCGAAAACATGAATTACTGCGGCATGATGTCATCTTGTGCACTTGCACAGCAGCCTCACACCCTGCCTTAGCTGATGCCCTCGACTTCAAACAGATCATCATTGATGAATGTGCCATGGCAACTGAACCTGAAGCCTTTATTCCACTAGTGGCTCATAAGCCTGAGCAGGTACTGTACGATTCCAAAACAATTTTCGTTTCAGACAAACACTTAAACCTGGATATTAGCAGCATGGATTGGTTGTTTAACACATATTAAAGGTTACTGGAGGCTGTAGCTTAACATTCACATCATTATAGGTAAACCAAAAAGTGTTCTATTTAAATTATAATTGCATTGACCACAACTTGCATTACTGCTGAATCTACTTGTAGGTTCTTATCCTACTAATTTCATGTTGTAGATTGTTCTTCTGGGCGATCATATGCAGCTGCAACCTGTAGTCCACTGTGATGTGGTGGAGCGATTGGGAATGAGCAAATCTCTTTTTGAACGTTACATGGAGAAAGCACTCTTGCTTGACACTCAGTACAGAATGGTATTAAATTATCATACTATAGCTTTACTACTGTATTTGTTTCTAAACATTTATGTCAGTTACTGTTCTTTTTACTGTTCTTTAGATCATGGCAGCTCTGTTTTTTTTTTTTATGTAAACGTATAATTTTCAATCAGCAGTAGTATTTATTATCCAGTAAAATAAAACAATGATCTAAACAATTAAACCGCAGTAGTTCTATTTTTATAGTTAAAATTAATTAAAATTAAAATTTCTCAGTTAAAATTGACCACAACTTGCATTACTGCTGAATCTACTTGTAGGTTCTTATCCTACTAATTTCATGTTGTAGATTGTTCTTCTGGGCGATCATATGCAGCTGCAACCTGTAGTCCACTGTGATGTGGTGGAGCGATTGGGAATGAGCAAATCTCTTTTTGAACGTTACATGGAGAAAGCACTCTTGCTTGACACTCAGTACAGAATGGTATTAAATTATCATACTATAGCTTTACTACTGTATTTGTTTCTAAACATTTATGTCAGTTACTGTTCTTTTTACTGTTCTTTGGATCATGGCAGCTCTGGTTTTTTTTTTTTTTATGTAAACGTATAATTTTCAATCAGCAGTATTATTTATTATCCAGTAAAATAAAACAATGATCTAAACAATTAAACCGCAGTAGTTCTATTTTTATAGTTAAAATGAATTAAAATTAAAATTTCTCAGTTAAATATCTTGTCTCTTACAGCAAGAAGACATTTGTGCATTTCCATCTAAGGAGTTCTATAAAGGAAAGTTAAAAACTGGAACATCAGCCAAACCAAGTCTCTTCCTAAGTAAATCAAGGAAAACATGCATTGTCTTTGGTCATGTTGAAGGAAAGGAGAAGAGTCTGGTGGTCCGGACTGAACGGGGGAATGAAAATTCAAAGGCAAATGTGGAAGAGGCAAAAGAAGTGGTAAGAGCACTTTAATATATTAAATACAATGTATTTTTGGGCTATAGTGTAAATTAAAATGTATAGCCTATTATGTTACACACAAAACTCCAGCACACATAGCATAATATTCCGATATTTAATTGAAGGATGCCTCTATTATCCATATACATCCATAAAGGTCTGCTAAGCCCCAAATATGCACCATAAAAGCGCTCCTGATGATCACTAATATGGATATTGCACATGCTGCTGCTATTACTTTTGTCTCTCACTCCACGGTTTCTAAATTTTCATAACAAAACGAGCTAGAAAAGCTAATTGGCGCCATCTTGCGATTCAGAACGCTCACTGACTACAAAACGGTCTAAGAGGGAAAATAGTCATTTTAACCTGACACCAAGGTTATTCATCTTTAACATTTGCGGCAAATAATGGAACAAATGCTGTGTAAATTCTGTTATTTTCTCAAAACATTGATATTAATAAACTTACTTACCAAATAACCCCATCTGATACAGAGAGTGTTAGATTTACGCTCTTCTTCCAGCTTCTCATCGGTCAATGGCGCTGGGCGGCAAATGTTGGCAGTTAAGTTTCCTAGGAGACGTAAGACTCCTCCCAGCGGCGCGCTCTCTTTCGTAACATTCAAATTTCAATACGTTTTTGTCACGAATGGGAGTTATTGGAGATGTTTATATAATAGAAAGTACCGTTTAATTTAAGTAATGTATATTAATTGTTACATGAATCGAAAGTAAGAGGTATCACGTGACCGCGCCGTCTTCACGAGCTAGAAAAAAGTCATTGTATATTATTATTATTATTATTTTATGTGATAATTGTAATAAACTTCCTACAGGTACGGATCGCCATTCTTTTGACTGAGGCTGGGATAAACAGAAAGGACATTGCCATTCTCACACCATACAATGCTCAAGTGGCAAGTATTAATGAGCTCCTGTTTGAAAAGGGTATACGTGATATCACAGTCAACACCATCATGAGGAGTCAAGGTAAAAACATTTTTACAAGTGCCATTTCACATCAGTGGGTCTACTAATGGCAGAGTGAACATTAAGCATGAATTTGTTTACCGGAACCCATGACAGTACATTAAAACTAACCATTATTTAGCTCTCTTTTAGAAATTAGAAAAATGCATGTATAAACATATAAAGGAATTCCATGGTTTTATGTTTTTTACTGTAAGACACAACGAAAGACATTCAAGGTAATTCGTACTTTCCAAGTTAGTTGAACGTTTTGACTGTATTGACATGTAAATGCAGCTTATTATTTCAGATCTTTTCTCATTTGTTTCTTTGGCCACAGGAAGTGAATGGAAATATGTCATCATGTCAACTGTGCGCTCTTGTCCCGAATCTGAAATAGAAAAACAACCAACCAAATCCTGGATTATGAAACAACTTGGATTCATCATGGACCCACACCAAGTTAACGTGGGCATTACCAGGGCACAAGAAGGCCTGTGCATCATTGGTTAGTTATGGTCAATAATTTGTGAAAAATTTGATCCGTTTTATAATGCAAAATAACACACATATTGCGGTTTTAATTCACAGTCATTTTTGTCTCTTAAGCATGAATATTATTCAGTCCTATAAGGGTATAGAAATTTCAAATGATATGGATATAATTTATCTTCACCTTTTTTGTGTGTGTACAGTTTATGTTAATTAACTGTATAATTAACTGTTTTTTAACAGTTAATCTGTTTTTTACAAATTAACTGTTAATTAACAGGTTTAAAGGGGTCATATGATGTTGCTAAAAAGAACATTATTTTGTGTATTTGGTGTGATGCAATGTGTTTATGCGGTTTAAGGTTCAAAAAACACGTTATTTTCCACATACTGTACATTATTGTTTCTCCTCTATGCTCCGCCTTTCTGAAACGCTTCGATTTTTACAAAGCTCATCGTTCTGAAAAGCGAGGTGTGCTCTGATTGGCCAGCTATCCAGTGCGTTGTGATTGGCCAAATACCTCAAGGGTGTGACATAAAATGTTACGCCCCTTACCATATTGTGATGCTGTGTCCTGGCGCAATGAGACAAAACCAATAAAACCCATTATAAACTAGACATTTGTTGCATCCAGTGGGGACATAATTACGGATTATAATGACTTATATTGTCTTTTTACGCGTTGCGTTGCATATCGCGCTGTGTAAACATAAAACCATGTCTGCATTTGTGATCGGAGAAATGACAAACAACAAGCGCTACTCTACACTGCTCAAAACTCGCGTTTGAATCGTCAGTGGCAAATTCTTTAAATATGAAAAACGTACTTACAGTCTGTGAGTCAGAACAGCCAGACTGTCCTTGCAAAGTTGGAATTAGCCTACCCCACTTTATAGAAACAACTGCAAATCTTCCCACACAGTGATGTAGACATGTGGGGGCGTGTTTAACCGAGGCGTTTTAGGAAGGCGTGGACAAGTCTTAACTTTTATCAAGAATATCTCTTTGGGTTTGAGACTTTAGTCTTTGCAACTTTAGGAATCTTATGCACGAACAGCTTGTAACACTCCAAAGAGAAAGGAAAACTTAAAATCGCATCATATGACCCCTTTAATAAAATGTTATTATAATAACACTAAACCTCCTTTTTTATATGTATTTTATAATTATCAACAGTTTTATATTTGATGCTTGGATTACAGTGCCATAATTCTGCTATTTTGGCAGGTAATGAGAACTTGCTGCGATGCAATGCATTGTGGAGAGGACTTCTGGATCATTATAAGGAGAAAGAATGTGTAGTGAATCCCACCCGGAACATCCAGGTTCAAAAAGCCACTAGAAGTCTGGGAATGAAGAAAACTGCTAGAAGATGATGTGCTTCATGCAGTTTTATTTTTGTAGCTGCATTTGCTTTATAGCTGTGTTAAATGTGCACTTACAGTATATACTCTACACATTACTTTGTGACATTTTTTAAAAATGGACACCAGGGAACATTGCATCATCAGATCTGTTGGATACTAGTGCTATACATTAATATAATCATAAAATAACTACTCTTGAATGGCCCTTTAGTGTACATTAACTTTTAATTAAATATTAAATATCTTTCATTTTTGGAGTCCGTTTTAGTCTTGGAAATTAGATTGTATTTACCTATTTTAATTTCAGCATTTTGTGAAATTCAAGTTTGCAAGTTTCAAGAAAAACACTTTTGCATTAAATTTGTTAAAACAAATCTTAATTTTGTATATATGAATACAAAAAAGACCATTTTACCACAACAGCACCACTAGACTATGACTATTGCAATGTTAATGTTTGACCACTTAGAGGTGCTGTGATAGCATATAAAGCAGATCCTAAGGCAAATTGCAATTAGTAACTATATTACATATTTTTAGATGTTGTTGAATTATTTGTATTCAATTGTTTTCTGTTGTGTCTATGAGTGTATAATTGTAATGCAAGAACCTGAATGTTCTGTATTTATTTGTTTGCATGTATAAAGATGTATCTGTGAATGTAATATATTTCATAATTTATGTTTACTGTGCAGCTCATTACATAATTTACACAACAGTCGATACAGGAGCTGCAGAATGTATTTCGGACACTGAAGTCACAAATAAAAATATAATTGATTGGATCTGTATCTGCGTGTCTCAAATGCTTTTCTCTTCACTAATGTCGCTGTTCGACTCTCAATGTTTGAATCAGGTGGTTTTGAAGTCATTTAATATCACAGGCATAAAGAATCACATAAACTAGCATCATCCACAAACTAACACAATACTGACTGTCTTCATCTTCAACACTACATCTAGGCCTACCATTTCAAACCCAACACACTTCCATTGAATGTTTTGCTTGTGCTTGTGCTTCTTTTTGCTTTGATACTTTGTATCTAATGTAAAGACATTAAAACTTTTTTAAAAGTGTGAAATTAGTGTCTAAATGCTTTTTGGGGCTATATTTTGATATGTAAGAACACACACTCACAGAGGGGTGTTAGTAAGCGGAGACAGATGCCAGGCTAGTTTGGAAAAGACTGAAGAGAGCTTTGGTTTTCGGGAGTGTGACGAGACATGGCAAGAAAAGAGAGAGAAACCACTGATGAGAGAAAAATAAATGTAAAATAACAAGTATTCTCTAAAAACAAGTTATTGATTCTAAAGAAAATGCATCTTGTTTTAAGGATATTTTTACTATAAAACGAGACAAAAGTGATTATGAGAATGATTTTTCTTGTAGTGCATTGCATAAAAGATATGCATCAAGAAGCTGTGAGTATGTGCTTGTGTGCTGCATCATGAGTAGTGCATGTCTTGTGTGTGTGTGTGTGTGTGTGTGTGTGTGTGTGTGTGTGTGTGTGTGTGTGTGTGTGTCTCATTAGGCTGCGAGAGGCTGGAGCTGCAGCAGGCCTTCTACTCTCACCGCAGCCTTTGATGGGGTTCAATCAGCGCCACATGAGACGTTGGGGAAAGATGAAGTGGAGAATGGAGGGAAAAGATGTGGGATGAAAAGTAGGAGCGATATGTAGGGAAGGGGACGGAATCTCTCTAATGCATGATGATGAAATTCAGGACATTACGGTCTCTTGCTTGGTCTGTTCACACTTTTTATGGTCCATTTCTCGATAATTACAGTTATTATATCATTTATGTTTATTTTTTGGCAGATGTTTTCTTAGCAAAGTAATTTGAATAGTTCGTGATATTATTAATACACCACAAAAATTATTTTCTTAGTATTTTTCTTGTGCTTTGTCGTGTTTTCCATTATAAATCTAAAAAAAATTTAATCAAGATGCATTTACTTGAGAAGCGTAATGACTTATGATATTTAGTTTTTTTTTCAGAAAGTATCAAAATTAATTGTTTTTTTCTAAACAAGAAAATAAATATTGTCAATGGGACAAGGAAAATAATCTTGTTTTCCCTTTGAATTGAGGGTTTTTCTTACTTGGCAGATATGGTTTTTCTTGTTTTAAGCAAAAGCTAACAAAACGACAAAAATGCTTTTTTTATTTTATTTATTTATTTATTTATTTTTTGCCATGTATTGATTGTTTCCCAACAGTTTTCTATGTGCCTTTGTTAGGATCACAGAGGTGTAAAGTCAAGTCACATTTATTCATAGTGCTTTAATACAGATAGTTTCAAAGCAGCTTCACAGTATTTTACAAGAAAATAACAGAATCAATGATGCAAACTTCATCAAATATTAGACAAATTCTAAACTCAAATTAAGCTTAAATTAAGCTCAATTGAGTTCAAGTTTTGTTCTCATCCAAAGGTTTCAGTGCCATCAAATCAAAAGTGTCTTTTAAACCCAAAGCAAACCAAAGGCAACAGTAACAAGGTCTATAGTATCTATAGTAAAGTACAAAGGGTACAAATACTCCATGTAAGCTCAATTAGAATGAGCTCATAAATGCTCAAAATGCTCGTTTCAGATAGAGTACAGCATGTCACCGCAGGACATGAGAGAGTTGCAGGCCAAACAGTCACATGTGTAAATCCAACATCTTATTATTCAGAAGCTCTGTTTTGTAAATGTGATAATTATACGCTGCTAAAATCTGCTCACACAAAGCAAACGCATCATCCTGTTATAACACTGAGTCACACTCTGTGCGTATTCAACAAATATTAAATAAATTCACCTGACTGCACAGCTTCATTAGTGACAATTTATGACTAGACGTCCTGTGTCGTGCGTGTTTTTGCGTGCATACATACATGTGTGAGTCTCTTCGCTCCGGTCGCCACCGTTGTACAGATGTGACTACAGTGTACCGTGCCCCCCCATTTCTTTCCACAACAAAGCCCACTTAAACAGCGCTGCCTCGCAGGCCTCGCAGTCAACCACCAGCCGCACTTCCACAAACACGAAGAACAGTTTAAAACCAGAGCTGGAGCGAAGGGCCTCCGCTGATTCAAACCAGCCCCTCCGCTGCTGCCAAAACTGCCTGCCTTACTCTTTAAATTAGTCCCATATTATGTCTGATTGTTTAGGAAGCACTTACAACCTTACTAAATAGCAGTTAGCTCTAAAAATCTATCAAATAATTACAGGTCACTGGAAGAATACTGTTTAGGCCTGCTGTGAGTGAACGGCTCTCTAAGAGAGCGAAACGTGGGTGTTTACATGGATTTCATTTTTTAGACTCCAGTGTGGTATTTGTTCATGCAAATGTTGCTTCCATGATGCATTTATATAAATACATCTAAAGAAAAAGTAGAAAGAATGCCACTTGTACAGTATTTCAATATATTTAATACTACAATCCACTAGGGCATTTCTGGGTTTTTAGCACCATACTATGCATTTACTAGTGTGTTTTTGGTAATTGGTATGACATTGGTATTGGTATATCAGGGTAGACCAAGGTCAGTGCATTCAATGGATTGTACTGTTGTTTACAACGAACATTAACCATGGTTTTACTACAAATAAGACCAAAAAAAACATAGATACTACAGTTAAACAATGGCACAAATTAACCATCATTTTGCTACACTAACCATAGTTTGACCATGTTATTTGTAGTAAAACGTTGGTTATACAAATGTAATCAATATGCCAAAAAAATACACAGTTCACTTTTATTAATAACCCATGGTTAATTTTCGCAAGGGGATTGCTCAGCTCATGAATTGTCATTCCAAAAAACCTGTAGCGAAAAATCCATAAAACAATTTTGATAGTTTTGATCTAGAACTTTTATACAGTGTCATTGTTTTCATCCGCATTAAATTCAATATGGCGTCTAATGTGACTAGGACTATTTGTTGGCCGTTCCCACAAATATCCCAGTTTTTACGGTAACTTCAAAACAGCCCGCATGTGTTTGTTTTGACCAACAAGAGGGCTCTGCTCGCTATAGCGACTTCAATCCTTTAGCTCATGCTAGTTTTGTCATTGAAAATTGGACCAGAATAAACAACCGCAAGAGTATCAACAACACCGTATTATTATCATCCTAAAGTAAGCATGTAAACTCACAAATACATCTACAATAAACTGTGTACGCAAATTACATTTTACATCGCGATTCGTTGCGATCGTTCATTTCCATCCGGGTTAAAAAGCGCGTGCAATTCTTGCACGTTCGGCGGCGTATCGCTGTTTTTAGCGTCTTGCGCCACGAACCGTTTTTGACGTAAAGATATAAAATGATTGTATGTGTGACAATTAATTGAGTCATGCACACATGGCGTGGTACAGCATCAGTGATTTAATATTTATGAATAACTTAGCATTTATGACACATATTTATTATTCATGAGCAAAGCCCTCAGTTGTAAATTGAAGACCCCAGTTATGAATGTGAAGTAGTAATTCATTTAGTAATTTTAATAACACTTAACAATTACGAACATTTATATAATTTATATAAGAATATTAGTTTAGATGTTTATGAATGTAATTATGTTTGATCATATTTAATAGCCATATTTTAATGTTCATAAACATGAAAGAGTTGCTGAACTGTGCTAAACTATTTCTGTTTATGGCTAATAGGAGCTATGTTTTGTTAATAGGCGCTAAAAGTGTTGTTAGTTTATCAGAAAATGTGTCTAATGTTGTTTGTCTCATGTTTCTGAATTCTGTAGTAATTGCTTGTTCATCTGTTGTATTGAAACTGAACTTTGTTCTGAGCCTTTAAAGTTTTATCTTAGGGGCACAACGCAATGGTGGAGTATGATATACCATAGCTGATTGTAATTAACCTGAACTGTCATGGAATATTTTAATTTCGTATATAATAACACTGGAAATTTCAGTGATATATTGACCGCTGGACTAGAAATGTTTCCAATTTTAAAGGTCACATATTTTACACATTTCTGGAGTTTTATTTTAAGTCTTGATGTCCTTAAGAATATATATTTG